AACCGCATCAGCTGGCTTCAGTGTCCCAGCGCAGGGACGCCGTGGTCTTGTCTTCCCCAAGAGTTTGGGACCACAGGGCCACCAAAACATGCTCCTCATACAAGCACCACATCCTGCTTGCCACCAAGCCAGGGGACAACGAGGGGAAGGACGCCAGAGACGGGTCTGCACCATCCTGATTGTTCAAAGGAAAGGGATGCACATGGGTTTGGGAGATGAGGAGCCAAGTCTCTTGGGGCTCCAAACTCAAGTCCTTGGGGCTCCAAACTCAAGTCCTTGGGGCTCCAAAGTCATGAGTATCACTGATGCAAGTGCTACCTCGCAACGCAAGACCTGCGGATGCTTTCCGAAGAGGTTAGAAAAAGGGAACTGGACCCCGTGAGGTGGGTGGCTCTCCCTTCCCAGCTCCAAGCAGGAGCATCTTCCCTGTGCTTTGGGCGGGGGGGCACACCATTTCGAGCTGCATTTGAACAAAATTGGAGAGCAAACGCTGTTGCTAACCTGCCAGAGGCTGCGATTGGCTCTTAAAGATAAACACCGGCGAGCGCCTGCCTCAGGACCCCGGGATGTATTTATTTCTCGGCACAAACTCTGCCGAGTTGACTGAGACCCATTTGCGTGACACATGAAGCGAAACAAGTTTGACGGGGTTTGTACGGGGAGATGATAAATCCAGACTCATTTAGACCGTTTGATTGTCACTTGTTCGACTGCGCAGCTGCTTCCGAGCCGAGCCGTCATCTCGCAGCGCAGCTCCTCCGACATCCCTCAAGCTCATCCCCACCTCCCCCGGCAGGATCAGGCCCTCGTGATCCACAGGAGCTGTGTGGCTCAACGAGCCCTATTCTCCTCCAAGCCGACGCGGTCCTTATCGAGCATCCCTGGATTAACGCGACGGGCCTCCCCTGCTAATTAACGACCTGCGCAGTCAAGACTCCGCCGGTGATGGGTGCGCAGGGGAAGCATCCATACTCCCTTCCCACCGCAGCCAAAACTGGGAATCGGCTCTTTCCCGAGGCAGAACTTGCTCAATCCGTGCTTTTCCTTGGGTGGCTCCTAAAGCAATGCCCTGACTCCTTTCCTCCGCTGCACATTCCTCGCTCCATCTGTGGGCCCGGCAGGTAGCCGGAGCTCACAGCCACCGAAATCTTTGATCCGTGAACCACGATGCAAAACCAAAGCACCATCTCGCTCCTTGCTCCACCTCTCCGAACCCTCAGGGCAAAGCGCAGTCTCCATCACTTCTACCCCCTCAAAAAAAACCACCCCAAAAAGCCTGGGATGAACCAGCTTTGCAGCAGAACGGTTCAGGCAGCGAGAAAACCCACCGGGAAAGGGGAAACGATCCACCCAGACAGACGCTGGAGCCAGGAGGCTTCTCCCTGTCAACACAAGAGGCTGTTTCTGTCTCAGCCTCGCGTTTCCATTCAGGAGGAGGATGAAGGCAAGTTGTGCCTCCGTGCAACACGATGCGCCTTGGCTCCCAACTTCTGCGGGCTCAGCGGAGCCGTAAACTGAAGTTTTAGGCTCAGAGTCGCTTTTTCCCTGCTGCACGCACCTGTGGATGTGTGTGCAAGGGGGGGTACCGGTACCCCCAGCATCTGACAGCGGTCCTCACCTCCTCCCATACCCTGCAGCACTAGGAAGGGCCCTTTTCAGGCACACAGCTCATCCCAGCCGGCTCTCCGAAGCCTTGCCGCTGCGGTTCCCGTCGGCACGCTGCTGTTTGGGAATTGCCAGCATCCCCGCTCCCCTTTCTGGACCTGGAGGTCTGCGCCCCCCAGTCTTTCACTGCTGCAGGGGGTTACTCTCAGGGCAAAATACGGGGCCTGATTCTGTGCTGTGCTGCCCGTGGGACAGACGCCCATGAAAATGTCCATAGGACAGATGCCACCACCCTGCAGCCTCTCCAAAACCCACCCAGCGCGGATGGGGTGGCCTCGCTTCCTCCAGAGCATACATTCATCTCATCTAGTGCATTAAAGGAAGGCTACTGGGTCAAATCCAGCTGTCCCTTACCCTGGTGTAAATCCAGAATAGCTCCAGGAGTGTAACTGGACCCACTCTGCATTTCCACCAGTGGCAGGGACCAGGACCTGGCCCATCAACAGCAGCTTTGGAGAGCCCGGAGGCGGCCTCTCCTCCCCTGCACGCTGGCATGTAAATCCACAAAACTGATTTGCTCCGTGCAATTGTTTCTGATTTACACCAGTGTGGGGACAGAATCAGTCTTCCTGAGCTGGCCCGACCCTTGTGTGACTCCAGTTCCTACTGGTCTGACTCCAGCAGGGAGCGAGAGCAGCCAATGGTGGAGGAACACTTGGCAGGGCTCAGGCCTCCTGATTTCAGGCATTGCAATAAATCCTTCAAATACATTCTGTGTCAGTGGCAATTTGGTTTCCCCTCCTCCCCCCACCCTCCCCAAAACCCCCAACAAATTGGCGTTCGAGGAATGACAGCCTGTGCGTTCGGCCGTGCCCATCACCACCACAGCTCCGTCCCTACAACGATCCCAGAGGCAGATCTCGCTGTCGGCATGGTCTTCTGCTTGGTGACCATGTTCAAACTCTGCATTAACTCCTCTGGTCCTCAGGGAGTCACTTGGGGTTTACTCTTGGGTACAAGATACCAGAAAGCCAAATTATGGCCCTAAACCCATGTGAGGACAGGATTTGGGGCAGTGCTGGGGGGACTTGCCTCACCTCACTTTAAGCACCCCAAAGTGCAGCAGTTGAAGAGCCAGCCAGCCATCTCCAGAGGGCAGGTCACCCCTCTGAATTTGCAGTCTCACGAAGCCATCAGCTTGGCACGGCTGCCAGGTGAAGCTGTCCTGCCCACCGGTGAAGAGAAGAGGAAGAGAAGAGGAAGGAAAGAGGAAGGGAAGAGGAAGGGAAGAGGAAGGGAAGAGGAAGGGAAGAGGAAGGGAAGAGGAAGGGAAGAGGAAGGGAAGAGGAAGAGAAGAGGAAGAGAAGAGGAAGAGAAGAGGAAGAGAAGAGGAAGAGAAAGAGAAGAGAAGAGAAGAGAAGAGAAGAGAAGAGAAGAGAAGAGAAGAGAAGAGAAGAGAAGAGAAGAGAAGAGAAGAGAAGAGAGGAGTTCCAGTTGTACAACAATCATCTAGTCCATGCCTGACCACTTCAGGGCTGATCAACACTTAAAGCATATTCTGTCCTTAGGCAACCAGCTTGGCAAAGTGTGGCTTAGCCAATTAGCTTAGATTAACCACCTCACTTTTAGAGGGTCTACGTTAGGTGGGACAAACCCCCTCCTTCATGTCTGTGCAAAGGAGAAGAGCAGCTTGATTGTATTTCTGCTCTAAGACCCCTTCCTACTCAACATGCGGGCATGGTGGCTTTCCAGTATCTTGAACCCCAGACAAAAGCCCTTGCAGCGGTGTCCGGCGGTGGGTTCCCGTGACACGGTCTTGCAAGTGCTCTGCCCGGCAGGATGCCACCGGGACCATCTGCAGGAAGAGGAGGGAAGGACGGACGGCACGCAGGCGGTTGCACATCAAGCCACGGAAGGCTGCTTTTGCGCAGGATCACTGGGGCAGGACCGGCATGAAACCAGTCGAGGACACTTACCGAACACCCTATCCAGTGCTTCCCGTTCATGCACCTGTTGATCTCTACGGAATTATTTTTGTGCAGCATCAGTGCGGAGGTTTAATTCGCATCGAAAACGCAATTCGCTCGGTGAAGGCTACTTTCATCTAGTTAGGTGTAACCACGTCAACACGCCGTTAAACATCCCTCCATGCAGTGCTATTAAGTTCTGAGATTCTTCTTTAGCTAGTTCTCTAAAGTGTTTGAATGTGATTTTTTGTTGTTGTTGTTGCTGCTCCTGTTGCTAATGTAAAACTTTTAATATTAATCTTTTTGACTGGTGTGAGGTGTCAGTTCTCTGCAAGTGTTAATTTACTCCCAGTGTGCCAGGAGCGGTAATATGTTACTATCGCTGAGCTCTATTATTTGTTTTATCTTGTTGGTGTTTTCTTTCTCCCAGTCGCGATCTCAAGTTTCCCCCTTTCCCTTCCCAAATCTTCTGGGCTGAGATGGTCCACTTCCACTTACAAGCCTTTATTGTAGACTACAGTCTTACTGGTGGTGGCCATTGCGATTTCTGGCTCCAGCCGAGACGTCTCAATCTGCGAAATCAGAGAGGAGGCAAGATCAGGATCGGCTTTGCGCGGTTGTGCTGCAGCAGGAGCTCGATCGATCGATAAATTAACGCGGAGAAGCATCATTTGTAAATAACACAACGTCAATCGTGTGTTTCCCGTGTCAATTTAACGCTCTTTACTCTGCTCAAGGCTCAAAACAACCCCGTTTGGATTGACTTACATTACACGAAACGATGCACGCGCGCTGCCTCGCAACGTCCAACGGATTATAGAGCGTCGCTGAGAATCAAACGGATCCCATCCATCGTTTTTCAGGAGACATCCCTTCCTTCTCCTGCAGCCAAGGTGTCCTCGCATGGTGCTAGAAGGAATCCAGCCCCCGAAGCTGCGGTTTGCACCCGTAGGGACCGGGCAAAGCCAAGGGCTGCCTGGTGACACGAGGGGACAGCACACCCTCATTCGGCTCCTGCACTGGGGCTCGATATCCTCCAGGGATGGATCACAGCTCAAATCTACCTACCCCTTCCTCTGTCCCCGTAAAATCTCCAGCCCTTTCCTGATTTTTTGCTTTTGCTGGCTCACACGAAGCTTTCCCTTGCTCTGAAATCACTCCGAACCTTTGCATCCCTGGGAGGGATCTGTGGCGCTCCTGGTTCCCACGGCCAGCAAAGATCCCGCTCCCAAGCGGGACAGGGCCCCTCGCAAGACCAGACTTTTAGAAATCCTATACATCGAATTGATGCTGTTGCTGACACAATGCTAGGAACCCACGTTAAAATCGAAATGCTTTTGAAAATGTTTAACCTAGTTAGACAAATTAGCAAAAATTTGTGCAAAACAATTTAGGTATTTAAAATATTCAATGTTTTTAAAAACTGGAAAAACTGTTCTTAGCTTTCAGCTGCAAAAACCCAACAAAATATAACATCAAAGCAATCTTAACATGAGGTGCAACATAACCCTTCAGCAAAGCTGTTAAACAGCTACTGAAGCATCATGGGAAATAGCACTTCATTTATTCAAATGCACATATGTCAGGTTTTTGCACCATATGTCATTCCAAGCTATTTACAGTAATAATTAAATCTTAATCAACGTTTAACCTCTGTAAAATGTTTGAAGGGATCTAATCACCCTTCAGACTGCACTAATGAAGGAGAAATATATAAACATAAAAAGAAAATGATGCATAGATAGCACACCAGAAAGAACAGTAATTGCAAAATTGTATTTCTTTTAAATATAATCAGCAAATTATGTAAAGTAAGCCAACGAGTATTTTAAGTGAAGACATCTTGGGTGTCAGAGGTGTGATCAGCTAATTTTGTACTGCTATCCATAACAGATGTAGCATATTTTCTTTTAGTGCCATTATTAGCAACTTCACCATTTCTTTCTGTGCTGCACCACAAAGTGAAGCATTGTGCCGGGGAGAGTACCCAGCAAAGGTGCAGGAGAGGCGACTGACGGGATCCATTTTGAGGGAGGATAAACTCCGATCTGCCTGGCTCTGACGCAGCTTTTCTTCCTATTGTTTTCTTATTTTTCTTCCAGAGACAGAAAGAAAAGCTCTGAGGCATCGGGGCTGGGTGGTTTCACCCACTGGGTATGAGAACACCAAGGTGGGAAGTGCTTTAAAATGACCTGGAATGGGGTGGTCCAACACTGACCGTCCATGCTGGTGTCGGTAGGGCTTGGGGATGTGGGGCAGCTCAGACAGAGCAAAGCCCAACCTACAGCTGGGAAGGCTCCACAGAAAGCTAAGGGAGAGCCACTGCAGTCCCTTCCTCTCTAACAGAGGCTGGAGAGGTGGGAGCTCCAAGGAAAGTCACATCTGCCTCAGTGGACCCCGTATGAGCGGTCTGAAAGCAAGACCCATGGGGAAACTTTGAGGACTTGGATGTGGTGAGTCTAGAAGCGAGAAGTTCAAGGGAGGCGTGGTGGCATTTGCGTGTGCTGGAGGCTACAGCGCAGAAGAAAGGAGTAATGTTTTGTTCACGCTCTCTTGGGACACAATTCAAAAAGCATCGAGTAAGATCCAAGCTGAACAGCAGGAAGAGTATCCTAGTGGGAAGGAGCAAAGTATTGCAACCAAATGCTTGGGGAAGGTGTGGTGGCTCTGTGGTGGGAAGTTTTCAGCACAAATTAGCTGAAATACATCAAAAATAGTTTAGGCAGAATTGAGCTTGTCTTGGTGGAAGGAGACAAATGAGATAACCGCTTATAGGTCCTTTCAGCTTCCTTCCCATGGGTCCAGCAGGGAAACGGCCTCCTTTCCCTGCATGGTTGAGCTCTTAATTCACGGCAAGTCTGTACACAAGGCTGTTAGATGGGATGGCTTTAGGAGGGACAGGAGTGAGGTGTGATAGTTCAGAGACAGATTACAGGGTCTGACCAGAAGAACAAGGGAACGAACGCCTAATGCAAGATGGACACATGGTCAGGGACTCCTCTGAAGCTCTTGAAAGAAGACACAATCTGTCCCAGGCATTGGTTTGGAGCTGCGTGTTACTGAACTTAATTAAGCCCCTTTCTGAAGCCTGGGAAGATGTGAGACAAATTTGTTGGGGGGTGACTGGTTGAACTGGAGCAATCTCTGCAAATCTCCTTCTTTAACAAAGCAGATATTAAAAACTGCTCTACAGCCTCAGCTACGGGAGCTCCAAGGGGTTGGTCTGCACCAAGGAGGCAGGCACAGGAGGGACATACTTCACAGCAGCACTGGCAAAGCCGTTCGGAAATGCGTCAGCAGTAACTTACTCCTTTCATTGGGAAATCAAATGCAGAACAACAAGGAGAAGCAGTCAGGTGGTGGGCTACAGATACTAAGACAACGTTAAGACAAAACCTTATTGTGTACCAATTCAGTCTTTGAATCCCTTAGGGCTTTTTTGTTGGAAAGTGTAATTTCATCTATTTCGGTGTGGACTACTCTAGCTGTCCAGCATCCTGGACCTCCTTGGCCAACTGGACATGACATTGTGAAACAGATCTGGAAAGCATAGAGTTTCTTGTCAAGTTTCCTGTGTCTCAGCTTCAAAAAAGTCTCCCAGCAGGGTTCTTCTTGGTCATGGCCACACTGGAAACCCCTCGAACAAGGAACACCTGCCATGGAGGGTGTTCGGAGGAACAGGCTCAACCCTGTTGGGACTATGCGGATGGGACCTGCCCCATCACACATGGGGTGACTTTGTCCGTCCAAACTCAGTGCCCACCACAGGACTGGGTTTGAATTGTGTCCATCCTCTTCTTCCCAATGGGGTAGATCTACTTGTGCTGGGGCAAAGGATCGATCCCCTTCCTGGCTCTGGGATGAGAGCGCTGAGGTGCCTACCAGAAAAGGGACGAATGAAAACAATCAACCCAGGAGCAGAGAAGTCCAGGAGGGACGCAAGATCACAACAGCACTGAGGGAACTGTGGTGTAAAAGCAGCACTCCCAGAGAGGCTTTCAGGCTGATGGCTGCATGAGCACCAGTGCAACATTGACCACTTGCTACCTTGACATACCAGCATGGGAATTGCTTCCCCCTGTGTGAGGCTACTGGAAGCTTTGCTCTAGATGCAGGGAGCTCCTCGCTGGGGACACGGCCACAGCGCATCTCCAAACTCATCCAGAAATGCGGCTGGCACTAGCCACAACCTGTCGCCACATCTGGGAGCTGGTACAGCCCCAGGATGCTCCTCTTCCCTCTAAGCAGATAGCCAAGTGCATGAAGGAAAAAGGGAAAAAAAACCAAGAAATGGTGTCCCTTGACCTTATCCAAGCAACTGTTTATAAACCAGCATCACCCAGGTAATACAGGCGGGATGACAGCGCTGGCTTTTTAGCGGTGCTCCTGACCCGGTGAAATCTATCCCTCCCAGGGAACAAAGCCGCCGTAAAGGGAATCGCCTCTCGCGGTGCCCACCGCACGCCAGCTCTCTTCCCCCCATCTCTGCCTTGCAGTGGAAGCCTCTCTCCTCTCATCAGCACAGACAAGGCTAATTGGGGTGATAAAGAACTGGCTCCGAGTGCTGGCGTGGGCTGGAGGAACAAATGGTGCGGTGGTCACAGCTGGTGCTGCGGAGACGGAGAGGGAGAGGGTGTGAGGCAGGCTCCCGGCGCCCAAAGTTTCGTCAGCCCATGTTGGATGCGGGGCGGCGAGGTGGGGGGTTGTGTGTGTTTTGCATTCGCTGCTGACACGGGTGTAGCGTACATGCGCGTCCGGTGAAGCAGAAGCAGGCAGAAAGCAGATGCTTTTTGTTTGGGGTTGATACTCATTTCTATCCCAGCTCGGGAAAAGGTGTAGAAAGGAATGTGCTCCTAAGAGTGCAGGGAGAGAGATAGGTCTAGGCTCGCTGCCAGGGATCCTGTAATGATATGGAAGGCAGCTAGGGGAGACAGGAGCAGATGGATTTGGCATACAGCTCATCACTCAGCCAAAAAAAGGGAGGGGGGAGGAAGAAGAAGGAAGAAAGCAGCCAATTTTGGTAGGGGGAGGGTCATGCGGACTGACGGATGCTGCACCGGGAGGTGGGGGAAGGGAGAATCAGGCTGGTCACCGCGTCTTCTGCTGCTGCCTTGGCAGTGCCAGCAAGGAGACCCAGTGGTGACCCCGGTTTGGAGCTCGGGAGGGCTCTCCCAGCCCTTCTGGCAGCCCTCTGCCATGTCCTCCTGGGCCACTAGACATCAATGGCCAAGGGCAGCGCCAAGCTAACAGAGCCCTAGTGAAGCTCGGTGAGGTGTAACAAGGACTACGGTTAATAAATGGCACCACGGAGCACCGTGAAGGACCAGCAGCTGCTGCTTCCACAGTGGTGGGCTCTGTGCACAGCTAGATGGAGAGGTGGGGCACATCCAGCACTGCTACCAGACTCTGCTCTGTCCTCGGTGTCCTTGGTGAAAAAAGAGCATGTTTTTCCTTGGATAGACAAGTTGCTGCTCATCGGCCACGCCATGGTCACCAAGCACCTCTCTTGTAGCTTGGTGCAACCATGGTGTGACAGCACCTCTGTACAGATCTGCTGAGGCTTTCCTTCACC